ATCCCCACCCATTAGGTATATGAGGTGTTCATAGCCACGGATAGGTATCATTCATGATACAAATGTACCTATTCTTTGTATCATGGGTATCATTGTCGTTCTCAACAATACTCGTAGCAAGGTGAAAATCGCGAGATTTCCACTGAAAATCTCCCCAATCTTCGTGCGCTAAAAACGTATTGCCAGAAGTCAGCAAGATAAATTGACACCATTTCCTCTCCCTGCGTATGCAAATTTAAGCAATCATTCGAAAAGGGAACATACGCATAACGAATCCGATTTTCTACCTTAAAAATTTCAACGAGTAAGAGATAATGAAGTCAACGTAGAGTTTATATGGAAAATGTTTCGACAATAACCATTTCCCTGTTTGCAAAGCGTTGTAGTACCTCATCTCATTTCAAGCGCCAATTGATATGCAAATAAAAATGAAATGATGTAAATAGGGGAGGGTGTTGTCTACATCGGAGTTTTCTATGAATCCTTCTAACCGGAGTGCTTGTAAATTATAACGGCTTATGAATGTAAATCGTCAATTCCTGCTTCATATAAGAAAAATAGTTTTAATAACGTACTTGCCTACGACTTTTACCAGTATATAAAGTGCGAAGTGCAAACTTTCCTCGTAACACGATGTGCTATAGACATATACCGAATGGGGTGGGTTGTGCGGCGACAGAAATGTGAATAAGTCTCGTGAATACTCTTTCTAAGTTCTTCGATTTTATTTCAAAAACTTCATCGCCGCAGTAATGCACTGAACGTAAAAAAGTTCCCTATGGAGAATATATTCCATTATCATATAAGAAGTCTTATAAGACCTCCTTCCAAATGCTGCAACAAATCGAAAGTTTGATTTCCGCCTAAAGTATCGTGCTTGGACGTACTCAACACTGTCACAGCGTTTTCATAGTATGTACTTACTAATCAAGTTTCAAGTACAAAATTCAATAAAATCAACAAGAAAGTAATCGTCTATAGTATTACAAAGCAACATTTCCGAGATCGCAAAGTTAGAATTTTTGTGATTTTTTTAAAGGTTCGATAGGCATTATTTACCATAGAAAGTCTACAGGGTGTCCAAATTAGACTGAACCACTGGTGAAATTGTAAGTCCGAAAGTAATTGGTGAAATTAACGAGCGTTTATTTTCTGTGTATTTAAATTCTATGGAGTATACTCATAATGATTTCCGGAAGTCTTCGTGTTTGTTTACAATGAACGTATACGTAAATATTTCATAAAACGTAAAGCCTCCAGTGAGTCCGAGATATAGGAGGTATAGTAGGATTTTTGTTACAAAGACCTAAAAATTATGCAACTCTGAGATTACTCCGGATTATAAAAATACTATTCAGCATACTTTTTTCTTAAGGACACCCTAGTTTTTCTTGCGCTCTGGGAATACAGCGATCCAAATGGAAGTGGAAGAGCGAATGCAGTTTCTGCTGAGACTGCATTCGAACTTCGCCCAATTAGCTACTTAGCACGCAGAATGTTGTTTTTTTGTACTTTATGGATTCAGTTGTAATGTAGCTAATAAAAGACATTATTATTATTATTAAATTGCCTTTTAAATAAAAATGGTTTACTTAATTATTGGAGGTCGTGTGGAAAAACGCGTCAATTAATTAATGTCAATATAGAAAGGGGAAGTTTTTGAAGGCATTCGGTCCAAGACTAACAAAAGGGAACCACATTCGGTTGGTGCAAAAATTTCGTTCCGAGTATACCAAACCGAAAGTTTTTTTCGGGCATTGATTTGAAACATTTCTGGCTGGTGAAAACAATTGAAAGCAAAACACTTCTCCTGTTAAGATTTAGCCGTAGGAATATTTTCCCTCGTCTTCCTGAAACTGATAACCTTGGTCCGTCCGAAGTTGGCGTATCTTGAGCGGCGTGGTTGCGATGTATCGTTCGTGTTCGCTCATTTCGACCTTTTCCTTCGTTGATGGCGATTGGAGGAGCGTCTTCAGCGTGCCATTCGCCTGGGCTGGGAAGCTCGAAGTCAAGTAACGCATGGCTGGGTTTCTTGTACGAAGGGTGAACAGTATTATTGGTTTCTCCCATGTCTTGAGGTATTTCCCTTCTAGGTGGATTCGTAGCCCCTTCTTGTTTACGTCTCGCAACCGGGTTTCTCTGCGGGTGGAAGATGGGGGCGGTCCGATGGTTGCATCCCCAGTGGGTTCAAAAGTGACGTAGGTAAACTGCGATCCGTTGTCCGACACTCGGAATGGAATTTGTGTGTTTAGCTGTGGAATATAAAGATAACTGTTACCGGTCGAAGA